CTCAGCTTCCACACATGAAACTAGGTTGTTTGTTGAGACAAATAATGAAAAACTTAATAGGGTGAAGAATTTCAATAAAAAATTTAACACAACAGTTAGGTTTGACGTAAAATTGAGTAAAAAAATACTGTTTATTAAATACTGAGTGTTTCAGCAAAAATGCAACAGTCCAACAGTCACACATTGCAGTAATACAAAGTTGAAACAAATGAGTCTAAAGTCGAGCCAACTTTATATTAAGTGGCCTTAATTAATATGTACTTACACTGAAATTAATAATTTGTTAAAATGTACTTATTGAATAAATCCATGTTTTTGCATTGTGCTAATGGCAACTAACCATAGCCGTATCTGACCTTAAGAATACAAGAAGTGTTCTTCAATACCTTATAAACACAGTAAGAACACTATTTAATTTTGATGCAGGTACATACAAAAGTAGTTCAGGCCACTTAATATAAAGTAGGACTTAAAAGTCTCTCAAATAAAAAAATAAAATAAAAATATGTACCTATGGATGTCAGTGGCTACCAACATTCATCAGAATGTCTTGCATTGTGTTCAACAAAAGAAAGACATTCATAAACGTTTACAACCACTTTAGTGTGAGTAAACGCTGTGGAACTATTTAGGTGAACAACCCCCAAGTTTAAAGTTTTAGCCATTGGGAAAGAGACTGATTTTATTTACTCAACCAAACCAATTTTAAATTATATGTTACTTTGACATATGTTAATTTTGAGCGCAGTATCTGTGCAATTAACATTCTTTCAGCAGATTGCTAAGTAAATAAGCGTTTCATCTTCTTTAATCATAAACTATTCACCACTTTAGCTGACTATGTTCAGCTATGAGCTAAATAGATTTTCAACTCTTCTCCCCCCCCCCCCCCTCTCTCTCTCTCTCTGGCAGAGGTGGTGAGGGGATTTTTTTTTTTTTGTGAATTGACTTGGATGATGGAATGATGACAGACTGATGGCAGATTGGGGCTTGCCCTATAAACACATGCCCCCCCAGTTTCACAGAGCAGAACAAAGAAGGTTTCTATCAGGTCTTTAACCGCAGCAGCAAACTTAACCTGCCAAAGGGAGGAACTCAACTAAAGCTGTCACAATAAACCAAGACTTTTTAAAAAACACAAACTCGATGGGATGCACCTGCATGAAGACACACACTAATCCTACATAAGCCACATGTTTAATGAAAGAAGCAACAAGTGTTATTAATTGCACAAATATTTTTGCAGTTTCTGAGAGTAGCAACCCATTTAATAATTAGATCAAGCTCAAAATGCTGCTGTACTAAAAAAATGAAATTAAACTAATTTATTGGTGAGTTTAATGGAAGTAATGTAATTTTACACTAAAACATGGTTCAGTTTATGGATTTTGATTGAAAAAAATACTATGTTATAATTTGCAGTGAAAAAACATACTGATATTTAAATCCATGCTCTGTGTGAGAGCTCACATTCGATAGTTTTTCGTTTAAGTAATGCTGAGTTCAGACTGAATGATTTTAGCCCCGATTTTGACCCGCCGACAGGTTTTGAGAAATCGCTGACAAATGCCTGAAATCACAGCAAATTGGTGCTCGTGCACGTGAGTGACAATCACACAGTGTGAACTATCAAAGACGCGATCTGAGAGAATCACCGATAAGTTGCCAATGCCAGTGCGATATTTGGTGTGCTAAATATCTGGAGCTGTCGGCGATTCAAATCATGCCATGTGAAATGAGTTTTGACTGAAAATATCAGAGCAGCATTCACTGTACACTGTAAATGCGAATAGTATTCCTTACTATCAAAATTCTAGTGTGTTTACTTAATTTTAAGCTAATTGTTGAGTTTACTAGAAATGCATTAGTGTTGCTGACATAGTAAGGTATAAAGTTCCCATAACTAATGTAATTTGAGTAAAATTGCTTATAAGGGCTAAGCCATGCTGTTACGCATGCGTACTGGGTGGTGATTTCCCATCCCCCATCCCGAGTCACAACCAACCGCCACCCAGCACCGCCATTGAAGGACAGGATTTCATATTGAGAAGATGTACTGCTGTAAATCAAGGTAAACTTTTCGTTTTAATTACTACTTTGATTTTATTTGTATAGTATCAGTAATCTGTTTATTTCCTGCACTTTGTGAAATTGTTTGCTGTTTTGTGAACTAATTAATAGCCCATGATGTTGTGACTAAACGTTTTGACCACTGCACGTTATTTGCAATACTGTCTACTTTACTAGATAAGCTATTTTTAGCTGCTTAGTCCTTTTTAATAACTATTAATAATTTGTAAAGTTAGTAGTAATTTGTAAAGTGGGCGTTATGCTCTAAAAGAGCGGGCCGCGCCATTTTAAATGATGCACTGAGAGAGCAAGAGCGCGCGCAATGATCCGTTCAAATAGATGTAAAGTTAACACATAGCTGTAGGTCTACATTTTTAAAAAAAAGAAAACGAAACCTATTTATCCGCATTACAAATACAGTAACGTTAGTTATCGCTGAACTTTAGTGGCGCTTGTTGTGACGAAAATATGCGTGTTTTTTTTTTAAGATTTACTTTTATGAGATCACCTGCAGGAAGCAGGTGAGGAGATCAGCTGTGATTCGGTCCGGCGTCAGCGAGCGGCTCATGACCAGACCAGTCGTTTTTTTCTCCATGATCGCCGGTGCAGCAGCAGTTTTAACCCGCCGAGGCTTTTAGAACATTATAAAGCAGTTTCAGCTCAAAATGGACCCGTGAGTGTCGTAGGTAATTTAGGATTTCGATGCGATTACGATTCGTGTCACTGTATGAGGCAGATACATATTTACACATGATGCTAAAGTGTGCTTATGCTAACAATCCCTATGAAACTTAAAGTTAAACTTATGAAAATGCGAGAGATATTTAATTAACTCAATTATTTGTTTTATATGCTATTTGTCTTTTCTTTATGCCGTTTTGAAGGTTTATTCCAGTGTTGCCGTTACGTTATTGAGTGTTTTGTATTGCTGTAATGACAAATAAATCTGACCAGACGCGACTGAATATGTGTGATGGATAACGTTAATGATGAAGTGGTATAACTCGTACAACCAAGCACAGAAACATCCCTTTGTTTGCTCAATATCACACAAAGGCATCAACAAACCTTTGTTATAAGCAAACTTTCTGTAAAGAAACAGGCTTTGCCAAACCTGTTAGTTTGCATTTTTAAAGAAGGTTTCACTAATTTTTAACAATTTAGGGCAAGTAAATTTGAACAATTACAAGGTTGTTTAAAATGTAGCACACCATTAGAGTATTGTGAGTGGCATATTTGGTTTGTAATATCATTATACCCTTTATTTATTTTTTATTTCAGACTACCAGTTTGTGAGCTGATATGCAGTGGAAATGTAAGTTTTGCACTTACACATCAAAGAAAACCTTTTGAACAATACCGCACAAGCCATAGAACATATTCATGAATTGTTCTATTAACGTTACCTTGTCTCCATACTGAGTGTCAGGGTAATTTTAAATCGTTTAATGCATTAAAAGTACATTTAACAAAATTCTCAGCAAAGAACTGCATGATCAAGAATAGTCCGAATATTTTTTCCATTTGAATAATCATCTGAGGACTAGTTAGAAATAGGGTTGTTGTGTTGTGATACCATTAATTTATGTTACAATACTATACCAGCTGAAGTATGGTGATACCAAGTAGTATTGCAATACTGTAATTCATAACTTAAATCCATGAAATAAAGAAAAATGTCAGAAATAATATATTGTATATGTTATTATAGGCCTACTTGAATTTAAATAATTCCCTTATTGTTGAAAAAAGTATTTGCACATCTCTTCACCTAAAATGTATTCATTCCAGCAAAAAAAATACATTAAAATAAAGATACATAAAGAAAAGAGCATTTTTCCAACAAACCTAGGCTATATGAAGTGGTCAAAAATTGTTTCCTGTTGCTATTTTGGGTTTTTCATCTATCATACTTTTTTCACACTTATTACCGGATAAGAATCCAAAGTAATTCAAAATTTCACTTTATGAGTCATTCTTTTGAATAGATTGTCACGGTTGTTGTAGCTATTATATCATATTGACAGGAACAGAAATAAACGAATTCCGATTCAAAATGAACCATCACAAAATATGCAATAGGCTACTATAAAAGGCGCAAATTCTACAGTTTTACAACCTTAGAAGGCTCCATAGACTATTAAAATACAATGATCTATTGTTGCTGAATCGTGTAAGTATTTTAGTGACTTTTTCACATGCAGCATTATGTATTGTAGGCAGACTGTTAATGACAATACTACCGTTTACAAACTACAGTGGCACCGCCAGTATCTTGGAGCCATAGTATTACGATACTACCATAGTACCGGTAAACCGTGCAACCCTAGTCAGAAAGTTCAGTGTCCTTTTAAAGACATCAATTGAGACAAATATTTATTCCACTTTTAATGCGCATAAAAGTAAGGCACACCAGCAACAATGCCATGATTATATTTAATCGGGGGTTGTGTTTATTACTGTTTGGTGACAAGTATAGCTCATGCTTTTGATGACAGGCGCCGGGAGTATTTGGCAGCTTTTATTATTCAAGAACATTTAACTATGTCATGTTAAAGTGTAACATCTGTTGCTAAATGGCATTGCATTGTATCATTGCATGTGTTTCTGATTTCTGTTTTTTGTTTTAGAATTTCGCTTAGCCATGTCAATAACACTTTACGTTTTTGTGCACAACAGTGACATCCAGAAGGAAGTCATAGAGGAAACACCAGCTGATGCAAGTGCTGCAGAAGGTTTGTTTTCTTTTCAAAACTTTGTGTGATTTTGTGAATTTGTGTTTTTGAATGTTATTAATGACTAATAATGTTTTGATTGGATCTTTGCAGAATTCAATCGAATATCAGGAAGAAATGTGAGATCCAAGTTCTACGCTGCATTGGACACACACTGCTCGTTTGATTGAAATAAAAAAAAAAAACAGGAGAAAATTGCAGAAGAAAACTAGAAGAAATTTTCAACATGTTAATTCAAAGGTATTTTTGTGACATCATCTTTGAATCATAATTTGCATTTGATTGCAATAAATTGCATTTGATGTTTTCATTGGGCTATAATGCATGTCTACCTGTCTTTACTTTTTCAAGGTCATCTGGCAGCAGTTCTCCAGGGTCTTTCAGTCCTTTAGAGGGATGAGTCTAAAGAAATTTTCAGGATGTGTTTTGTAAGTAGTAGTATTATTTCTGCTTTCTTAGACTGGAAATTAAGCTGTCATTCCAGTTTACCTCACTTATTAATAAAAAATTTCAATTTTATAAAAATAAAACAAATGCATTTAATGTAAGTATTTGAAAGTAAGAGGGATGTTATATTATGGCCTTTGGAGCAAGAGCATTGCTATGTTGCAAATACAGCAGCTTGTGCCGTCACAGGGTCAGTTAGCTTCATAGGCCAGTGAAGTAATGAATGCATTTCTTTAATTTTTAAACACACTTGTTTTGAAAAGGAGGAAGATTAGCTTGAAAAAAAAATCTTAATAAGTGTAATACCTATGTAATATGTTGAGAGAAATATAATTTCAGTTGAAAGAACCTGCTGGATTAAGATGTAAAAAGATAGTGTTAAAAGCCACAAAGTCAAAGATGCTCCGTATTATAACCAACCCTGTGAGGTCACCTGCTGTGGGATTGTAGATGGCTGCACCCTTGTTCTAAAAGCCATACTAAAACATCAATTTTCTTATTAAAAAATTGTTATTAATACATTTTTAAAAAGTGTGCTAAATAATGCAAACTTGGCTCACTGCTTTAATCTAGCAAAACCAAATGCATTCATGAATCGGTTCCCAATTTATTAAGTTTTCCCTACAAAATATTTATATTGATTATGTAGCACCAATTGGTCTCTCACACATTTGCATTTAATTTCTTGAAAATGTTTTAAAAGTATTTTTACTGCAGTTTGTTTTATTACATTACAGTGTTTCTTTAATTAAAAAAAATCTATTGTTCCTTTAGAATAGTATCATGTTCAAGATACTGGAATTTAGTACCAATCTCTGCTGCAATTTTAAGCAGCAAATTTCCTGCTAACATTTTAAGCACTTTTGAGCACATTTTTAAACAGCACTGTTTTGCCATTCTGTTCACATGCTTAACAGAAATGACACTCAACAATGCTCAAATGTTAGCAGGAAATGGATGTTTTTAAAATTACTATATGGATTGGTAATAAATTCCACTATCATGACAAGCCTAGTAGAAGCAGTACAGGCAAATCCATCGTGTTGGTCTACATTGAAGAAGGAGCACCATAGCAAGGCCTTCTTATAAGAAGCATTTGAATGTAAAATGTACTATAAACACAAATAGTCATGCTAATAAGCAACTAGTTAATAGGGTAATTGGTTCCTACTAAAGTGTTACTAAATTAAGCACAAGGAATTGTATTTTTTTCACCTCTGCTTTTGGTCTCCTGGCCACTACAGGCTTTATTAGTGCCATTTAGAATATCAAACTTTACTTATTTTTCTTTCTCTATTCATAGGATGTAATTGTAGAGTCGGACTTCAGTGCAGAAGATGTTGGCCTGCTGACTGTCGTGTGTGAAGATGTCTAAAGAACCTCATTATGGATGCAATGTGGGCCTTTATACTGGAAGGAAAAGTGGTTATGGACTTTGCCACATGCAGTATGTCTCCTTTTTTGCTTTGATTTACACACTGAATTCGGACTACCCAAAGACTTTGAGCAATGCATTTGAATTTGTTCAACGTGTGTTGCTTTTGCTGGGAGGGAAGCGTAATGTGTTTTATTCGGCGAGTGCCTATATACTGCTGTGCTTTATGTTTAAAGGTTCAGGTATAATGGCATGTTTAATTACAAAGTGTTGCTTTTTAACATGTTGCTGTTTGCAGTGTTACATTTAGGACTGCAGCATTTTGGTGTTTAAAACACTTTTTTTTTTTTTTTTACCAAAAAAGTGTATTGTGATTTATAGGGTTGTCAAAAGTATTGAGTTTGGTACCAATCGGTACTGAAATAAAAAAAAAAAAAGTCCATCCATTTCCCACTAACATTGCAAGAACTGATTGGCCATTGTGTTCACATGCTCAGTAGATATGACTGATTGGCTTTGAAGGTCATTATTTTTACCACACTTCACCACTGTTCACCAGGTGCAAAGATACAAAGACACTGGATAACTTCAAAGCACTGTCGATCAGTCGATTCATCACCAGATAGCTTATATGTTAGCTTTTAAACAAATCAGCTATCGACATGGCTTTGAAACACTTCAGTGTCTGTATAACTTTGTTTGGACTCAGTGAAAATTGGTAAACCTATGACAGTCACAGCCAATCACAGTCATTTCTGTTGAGCATGTGAACACAGTGGCCAATCAATGGTGTTTAAGAACGAGCTCAGTAGCACTCAAATGCTGGTGGAAAATGGATATTTTTAATATTTCAGTATTGACTGATACCAAACTCAATACTTTTGACCACACTAATGTGATATTTTCTGTAGGAAAATCTAAACTACACAGTCTAACAAATTAGCTTTAAAGCTTAATATCTGTTCCTCTGTGAGTGTCTATATGCTGCCATGTTTAAGGTGCTGGTGCAATGGCATGTTTAATTACACTAATTCAAGTATCTTTTTTCCAAGTGTCAAGTATTTAAAGTTTTTTTGATAGATTTTCAAACCTTTTCGAAAACTTGTGTTTTAGGGTTGAACATGTTTATTATATTTTTTGTCTGTATTGCTGTTTACAGTATATTACAGCACTTTACAACAGGTTTTTACAAAACTGTATTGTGTACAAGTGTATTGTGATACTAAAATATCACAAGTGTATTGTGAAATTCTGCTAATTTTGTCAAATAAAATGTTTACATTTAAGACCTGTATAATGTCATTACTTGTAGGTTGAACTACATATTTTATGTTCAGTTTAATTGAAGAAAATGTGGAAACCGATTGCACGTAGTTTCTTTAGTTGACATTACTTAAAATAGTGGATTAAAACAATGTTGAGACTACTAGCATTCAAGATGTTAACTGAACATGGTAGAACAGTATTAGTTAAATAGAGTTATTAAAGTAATCTTACTATAAAACCCTAAGTAAGATTACTAAATAATGACAAGTATGTTAACTAGAATTTTCTATTAAACTTACTTAATTTTTAACAGTTAGTTTACTTTAAAAGTTTTAGTTTTCTTACTTCAAGGCAATAATTAAACTTAACTTAAGATTTCCTTGTAAGTTTATATTGCAAAAATAAGGCAATCGGTTTCCAAACTTTTTTTAAGTAAACTGAACATGTTAGAATTTACAGTGTACCTGCAGGTCAGCGGAAGGCTGGGGGAGAAGTTAAAAGCGCTCATTTTCGGTTTGGACCCAAGAAATCGAGGAAAAACTAGTGGAGTTTTGGCAGGAGCACCGTGTCTGTTTGACGTTTCATACAGAAAGTTAAAAAAGAAAGTTGAGGAGAAATTGCTAATTCTCTTCAAACCCAGGTGAGCAATTATGTACATTTTCTACCACATTAAAGGCGTCTTTCTCATTATGTAGTTAATAACAAAAGATATACTACGTGTTTTTGGCTGTGAGACGTGGTTTGGACGAGGTTGTCGGCGATTCTTCCTATTGTAAAGTCCTGCAATGTAAAAACACCTGTCGCCGATCCATCTTACAGTGTAAACAAAGCAGTGACATCTGTGACACGACTACTTTGAAAATCATGCAGTCTGAACTCGGCATTACTGTTTAATTTTAAGTTTATTAATTTTGATATAATTTAACTATATTGTAAATTTACACTCTCAAAATGCTTTTTCACTGATGGCTCTAAAAAGAGCATTTACATCCACATTGCACAAAAGATACTTTATAGAAAAAAGATTTTCTTTAGACTTAGAAAAATAAAAATGGTTATCTGTTCATTGAAAGATTCTCAGAGACCAAAAATTGTTCTTCTGTGCATAATGTATATGCTGGAATATTTTTTGGTGTCAGTTAAAGGCACTGTCGGCGATCTGCCTAAATGCTAACCGGTTCTCATATATATATTTTTAATACAAGCCCTCGCTGCCATCCAAAGCCACGCCAACTAAAATTGCCAATGCGCAAATTAAAGATGACAGAGACCCACTAAATCATGTCATTCGCCAGTTAGAAAACTTTGTAGTACTTTATGATAAAACAACTCTGAATGAAAAACTGTATCATATCTAGCATGTTTTCAGTTGTGTAGTTAGCAAGCAAAAATTATCATAATGTGCAATATTTCATGCATTCAAGGATTGCTGGACTCATTCTCTCACACTCTATCCTAAAGCAATTACTGTATGCTTGCACTTGTTACTAAGACCGAATATTCAGAGTAGCATGGTAAACAATATAAGGAGCGCAACACAGGTTGTCATTGTTAAAAAATGAACCAATGTGAATATAAAACATCACCTCAGTAAAGCAGGCTAGGCAGAATAGCGCTATTTACTGATGTTTTGTTGTTAAACTACATACAAATCTACATTATCGATGCTGTAAAAGGTCCCTTATGAAACTAAAAATAGTCAGATCAAGCTTTTGCTGGCTGAACAACACTTCCGTATATATAGCCCGTTCATGAAACAACCCAATGTACCTCAGCTTTGCGTGACTAAAGTAGTTTATAAACAGAACATTACCTATCTAAAAGAAATACTTGAGCCATAGTGTCATCCTTCCTCCAAGGTGCAAAAGTATCTCCAATATTGATTCAGGATTTTAAAAAGTTTTGATTCAGCTTTTGTTTTTACCACTGTCACTCGTGTCCATGTGAACGTGCATCGACGGATCTGCATGAACAAAAGTGCACAGTTGTACAAATCTACATTTGTTGACAGACAGTTTGGGCTACTTATCAGAAGTATGGGAAATGTCGGCCCGGACATTTTTTTGCCTTATGCCTTACCCAGAATGCAAAAATACATATAAATACATTTAGATCAATTGCTTTAATCATTACTATTGGAATGTGTAGAGACTTTCAACCAGCACAACAAAAAATGTTTCTGAAGATAATCACCTACTGCACCTTTGACATTATTGGTTCACTTTTTAAATAAATTTTATCCAAAAATCTAAAATATTAATAACCCCATCTGCCATCATATAGATCATTTATGAGATATGCATTCTTACTGTCTCTAGTGTCATATCATAAGTTTCTCCATTTCCTGCTTTTTAGACTCCATGCTTGTGTTCTGAATAGGCAGTGAAGTCATGCATGCTCCCTACATCCCAAGACACCAACAATAATATGTTTTTTTCTAAACTGGAATGACACTTCCAGTAATCGGAGATTCTATCTTAGCAGTTATTCATTATAAACACACCCCAGGGTGAACATGCCATTAGTCTTGGCTTCTTTTCAAAAAGTGTCTGTTTTTGTGAATGTGTGGTCATGCTTCATGAATATCTTTCTGATAACTTTCTGATAAGAGTTGTGAAATGGGCTTTTCGTTTTTGTTTAATATATTAGGGAGAATCCATATGGAAGAAATAAGTCAAGTCCTTATTTATACAGCACTTATAGCTTTTTATCTCAGTTTATCTCAAGGCAGTTTCATATTAAACAGGAAGGGAATAGAACAAAATGAGGCAAGTAGATTCAGTTCAGTTCATTCATTATAAAAAAGAAGAGGTCAAGAACAAGTTCACTGCTATCAAATCAATGTTACCAGGGCTATAATCAGTAGAAATGGCAAGATAAAAATTTTGTTTTAGAATAACAAAATGTTTTTTAAGGTCTCGTTTTAAAGCTGGTGTGCCTGAGTCTTTTAACAGTACAAATCAATGCCAAAATGAGACAGCCAATCAAATTAAGCCACATCATGATGAATAAAAAATATATATATATTTGAGTTTTTATTTTCTTAAAATGGCTTAACTTGAAGTGCTGTAAAAACAAAAATGGAAAAAATATTTTTAAGGTACTTGCCATATGGCAACAATGTCCAACAGTGGAACTAACTTAGAAATTTCAAATGTAATACTTTCCTTATAATTAATTTTGTTGTTTGAAACGATTTAATTGGTGTTTCAGTATTATAGGCTTTAACACAACTTATAAATGAAACCTTATACATACTTTTCAACAACTCATATTCCGAAAGCTTTCATTCATTTCATTTTTTTGCTGAATATTATTAAAAACAAACATAATATTGTATTATTATGTATACAACATACAGCAAATATAAATATCTTCTCCAGCAAATATTATAATGAATAAATAACAAGTCTAGTATATCCAGAAGGTTGCAACTAGCTGACAATATTTATATATTATTCTATATACTATACCACACCTGTCTTATTTGCCTCTGAGCTAACTTACCTGAACTGTCTTTATCAAATGTCCAGTCTGCATCATTCTCATGGTCACCAAAACCCATCTCATCCTCACTTTTATCTGCAGGAAGAGCCTGTCCTTTTCTTCTTTCACTTACCATAAAACATGTTGGTGCTCGCTAATACACTGCTCCCTGTATTCATATCTATTCAAAAGTAGTATTGCCATTAAAACTAGATTTTATCCATAATTATTGTAACTGTTGGATTTGTCCATGTTTAACACACATTGGATTACAACAACACGATTAGACATATAAATAAGAGTGAACATTTTATTATATTGAAATATGATTTGGAAACTATGATAGATATGTTTTGAGAGTTTAACATCTAGAATGTTCCTTTCACAAGAAGGGATGGGAACCAGAGATGTAGGTATATAAACAGTTTACTGTAAAAGATGGCAGAGTAAACAGAACTCAGTGAAGCTGATGTGCAGGATGGAGAATGGAATGACCAGAAGGGGATGTAGTGACCAGAGGAAATCTCAGAGGAGCCAGGAACACAGATATTTGGATATGGAGATCAATGAGGAGCAACCAGAAATAACCCCACTAGGAACGACAAATGCAGACACTGGAGATGACAGGGAACGAGAGAGGTGAGTAACTTTCAAATAGAATGTAAACACTGACCATATAGAGAGTGCTGTCCTTCGTTGGTGTATTGAGGCCAGACACTGAGTGCAGAGTGGTGATGGTATTTATGGGGCTGGAGAGATGAACAAAGATGATGTGCAGGTGCCGGGCTAACTTGTATTTGGGTGACTATGATCGGAGTGATTGTGGTGACTAAGTGGACAGTTCTTGTCCATTATTGCGTTTTTTCACACTTTAACCCTGCTGAAAAATCCAGCTTAAACCAGCCTAGGCTGGTTAGCTGGTTTTAGCTGGTTGACCAGCCTGGTTTTTGAGGGGTTTTGGCCATTTCCAGGCTGGTTTCCAACTATTTCCAGCCTGGTCTTAGCTGGTCAGGCTTGAAAATGACCAGCCAAATCCAGCTAAAACCAGCTTGACCAGCCTGGTTTAAGCTGGATATAGCTGGTTTTGGCTGGACTCCCAACTTGGCTAGGCTGGTCAAGCTGGTTTTAGCTGGTCATCTCCCAGCCTGACCAGCTAAGACCAGGCTGGAAAGCGCTGGAAACCAGCCTGGAAGTGGCCAAAACCCCTCTAAAACCAGCCTTGTCGACCAGCTTAAACCAGCCAACCAGCCTAGGCTGGTTTAGGTTGGATTTTTCAGCAGGGAAATGTTTAAAGCAACAAACAAAAAAAGTCACTTTAGTATTTAAGACATGTTTACAGCCTTGAATGTAATTACTGAGCACACATATAAGTGAAGAGTACAGATGCAAAAGCCTACATAATCATGGTGGCTTGAGAAATTGTCTTCTTAGGCTATTTCAAGAACGCATCTCCTCTTATACCGTTCATACTACAACCACCAAACTAACTCCAAACCTCCAAGCTGTTATGACTAGAGTTGCTATATCTTTTCCAACTGATCCGACTTACGGTTTTCCCAAAACTGACCCGGAAATGTTGTAAAAGTCCAATTGATTTAACATTGGACCAAACTTTGTGACCTCATAACGTAGCACCAGACTGTCACACAGACTTAAGTTTAGGCTCATTTAACTCAGACTATAAATCTGCCAATCACTGATGACATCTCAGCTTACTAGCCACACCCTAGCAACTACTTACGGCACTCTAGCAACTGTCATATAGACTTCCTTTATAAAAAAAACTGCCATTGACTTTACATTGAACATAATAATAACATACCAATTTAAAAACATACAAACAAACATACTAATCATATTAACATTGTGCTAGTTCATACTATAAACATACTAGCAACATGCTAATTTATATTAAATTCATACTAACAACATGCTAGTTTATACTAGAAACATGCTAGCAACATGCTAATTCATACTAGAACCATACTAGCAACATGCTAATTCATACTAAATTCATGCTAACATGCTAGTTTAGAAACATGCTAGCAACTTGCTAATTCATATAAGAACAATACTAACAAGCTGATTTATGCAAGAAACATGCTAATTCATACTAGAACCATGCTTGTTTATGTTAGCAACTGCCTAGCAACTACTCAGAACACCTTAGCAACCACTTCGCAACACCTTATCAACAGCAAGAAAAATGCCAATCCATACTTGAAACATTCTAACCTATATGTAGTTATAACTGTTAAAGACTTTAATTATTAAAACTTTAAAACTACTTCAAGCTCTCAGACGAGGCTTTTTTCAACACCCTAAAGTTTGTCTACAAACTTTATTTTTCTAGTTTTCTTCAAAAATGTGCTTTTTTAGCTTCCCAACCCCAAGCTGAACTTACAGGATTGTAATGAGACCATGTCTGGGCACTACAAGTCCCAGCAGGCTTAGCGCCATGCAAGGAAGTGTTGTTGTTTATGTGCGGACACTTTATTTCCTGATTGCGGCGTAAATTAACAACAGGTTGTAGATTGCTCAGCGCTATATAAGTGAGTCAAAGTTTGTTTGCCATTTTGCTGTCGTTGTTGCATTCTGGTCGCGGCACGTAAAGGCCGGTAGGTAGTAAGTTTATTTGTGTGATGTGCGGTCTCTCTCTCTTTCTCGCGGAGTTTCCTTTTTTTAACGCATGCATAAACTGACATTTATAGAGTCCACACTTCACGTGAGGGGTAGCTGATGAGCAAACAACATTTAATGCTGCCAGATCTTCATAGCGAACTTATTTAAAGAGGTAGTTGTTTTATAATTTTAATAAACCGTTTTTAGTGTTGTGTTTTAATGATATTATCCTTTTTATTTCTAGTGCTATTACGGGATCATTGTTTGCTGATTGTTGCCTGAGTGTCAGCATGGGAAATTAAGGATCTTAGAGGTATTGTTTAAAACAAAGAAGGGTTTTATCTTTTAATGCATGTTTTATTTATAGGATGTTTTATTGTGTTTGATTTCTTTATATTCTGAGTTTCTGTGTTGTAATAAACTGTGTTTCCCCTTTTTAGGGATGCACGGTTGCCGTTTACTTTAGACTTACAATAATATTTTTGTTATCGAGTCTTTGTTGTTGACTTTTGTTGTATGCTAATTTGGGTTGTTTATTATGTTGCTAGGTTGAAAACAATTTGTATTTTCCTTTGTTAAACTTTTCTTTCTTTTGTAGGTTCTGTTTTGGATTTGCTTTACCATCAGTGGCCACTGGGTTCCCTGCACTGTGTGGATGGCGGTGGAGAAAAGGTGGTTGGGATTGTGTGGTGATTTGGTCACTGTTGATTTTTGTGTTTTTTTAGGTTGCAGTGTGATTGCTGTGAGCTGAGTGTGGTGAAAACACTGCTGCTTGGGTACCTCATCTGTCCTCACTTTCTGGGTAACCGGTGGCCATTAGTGGTTTGTTTTTTCTTTTCTTTTATTTAGTTTATTTACTTTTTTTTCCTCCTTATTTGCAATAAAGATGGAGACAATTTGTATATTACAACTTGGGGAATAAAATATAATTGTCCTCCTAATTGTAAGTCACTTCATTTACCCTCTGCTAAATCATTAACACTGACAAAAGTCATCTGGTCACAATTGGCGTAGTCGGCAGGGTATTTAAAATTGATTTAATTTAGCAGAGGCTGTTGTGAAGTGTCTTACTCTATCGATTGTGCAACTTTAAATGTTTTTGCATAAGTTCAGTGTAAGTAAACGGTGACCGTGCATAAAGGATTTCGCAGACTCTGCTTTGTGGACCCTGGATGTCATTGTGCTGATTGAACTGTCTTCCAGAATTCACCAACAGATATGGAGCAAGAACTAATGGACTTGAGGGAGCGGGTTCAAAGCTTACAAGCACAGAATGAGGAGTTGATGAGACTGCGTCCCCCATCTAGCAGTGATGCCCCTAGCCAACCTCACCCTTCTGTTTCTAATGACCCATCCTCAGTGTCTTTTAACAGAATGCTTTATGTGCCCCGAGAGAGGAAGTGCCCACGTTTTTATGGGAACATGGACTCTAACTTGAGTATTGAGGACTGGATTGACGAGGCTAAGGTGTGTATTGAGGGTAGAGGTTGGGCTGATAAAGAAAAGGTGGTCTTTCTGTTGGATCATCTTGGGGGAGAAGCTAGAATGGAGGTAAAACTTCATCCACCTGTTACTAGACAAACTCCAGAGTCTGTTTTTGAAGTTTTAAAAGATTTGTATGGGGGAAAACAGACATTTGTACAATTACAGCAGAGGTTTTATGAGCGAAAACAGAAAGAAGGTGAATCATTGACTGAATTTTCCCATGCTTTAATGTCATTGATGGATTTGATTCTTAATAGTAATCCAGGTAGTGTTCCCAATTCCGATAGAGTGCTTCGCGATCAGTTTGTTGAATATGTCCAAGATGTAACGCTGAAACGTGAGTTGAAACGACTTGTGAGGGAGAAGCCTTCTCTTACGTTGCTCGAGGTTCGACGTGAGGCTCTTAGATGGGTAGAAGAGGGGAGCAGGGAAGCAACTCTTTCATATTCCCAGCCATGGTGTAATGCCACTCAAACCAGGGTAGTTGACCAGGAACCTAAGGTTAGATTCCAGGAATCAACAGAGTTAAAAGAAATGAAAGAAATGTTGAGACAGCAACAAGCACAATTAAATGATCTTACCCAGCGTCTTGATAGACTTATGCCTACAAAGAATGATCCCCCTGCTGTTGCTTTACCAAGGCAAAATACATTGCGGCGATGCCTACGTTGTAACAAAATGGGGCACATTGCCAGATTTTGTCGTTCACCTTGGCCTACAGAGTCAAACTCCGGATCACCTCAGGCAAATGTAAATGAGATTTCAGTTGGGGAATCCGATACTGTAGCCCCTACTGCAATTTTAAGCCAGATTGTTGAAGGGACAAGGGAAGCTTCAAAGTCACCCGTTTGCCCTACTATTTTACAGCGACTCGTGGGCAAATGCCCTGTTGTAAATGCACAGATTGGGATGGGAGTAGATATTTCTTGTTTGTTGGATACAGGATCCATGGTAACCACGATAACGGAGTCATTTTTTGAGAAACATTTCCATCAATTAGGGGTGAATGGTCTTAAGAAATGTAACTGGCTTCAATTAAAAGCAGCTAATGGCCTTGAGATCCCCTATGTGGGTTATTTTGAAACCGACGTGAAAGTGTTGGGACAAACCCTTCGAGGACAGGGCATTTTGGTTGTGAAAGATCCAGTTGATGTTTTTTTTCATCAAAAGAAAGAATTTACTCCTGGCCTCTTGGGCATGAACATTATAGGACAATGTTATAATGATTTGTTTGAAAAACATGGCCCAGCACTATTTTCAGTTCCACAGGTTAGGCAGGCAGAACAAGGTTGGAGAGACGCCCTATCCCAGTGTCACAGGGTGGAGGATGCCCCTGTTCCTGGCTTTGTTGGGTATGCCAGAGTGCAGTCCTGCCAACCTGTTCAGATTCCAGCTGGAACTATGAGGTTAGTGCCTGCTTTGTGCCCAAAGAATATACACAGTGGGACAGTAGTGGTTTTAGAACCCCAAAACCCAGAGAACGGGGGGTTACCTGCTGGAGTGCTAATCTCATCTGCTATGCTGCAGTGTGTACAAGGTATAGTTCATGTACCTATAGTTAATGTCGGCACAGAACCTTTATATTTGCCCCCCAAAATTAGATTGGGTAGTTTGCTTAATGTTGAAATCATAAGTTCATCTCAGGGCATTTTCTTTCAGGGTGATAGGTCACAGGACCCTAATGTAGTGGTTGTTCAGTGTCATGCTGTTACATCGGAGTCAAGCATTGATATGCAAGGCGTAGAACTGTCTGGGCTTTCAGAGATTGAGGAGGAGGAAGTTAAGAGATTGTTAATGAAATATTCAGACGTCTTTTCAAAACATGATGGCGATTTGGGATGTACAAATTTAATAGACCATCAAATCCCCTTAGTAGATGATACACCAGTACGCCAACGCTATCGTAGAATTCCCCCCAGTCAGTTTGAAGATGTGAAGGCTCACATTAGACAGTTGTTGGACAGCCACATTATTAGGGAGAGCAGTAGCCCATATGCCTCCCCAATTGTATTGGTGAAAAAGAAAGATGGTTCTTTGAGGATGTGTATTGACTACCGCCAGCTGAATGCCAGAACCCGTAAGGATGCCTACCCTTTGCCAAGGATAGAAGAGTCGCTGGATGCATTGACTGGAGCAAAGTGGTTTTCAACTTTGGATCTGGCAAGTGGATATAATCAGGTACCGGTAGCGGAATCTGATCGATTCAAGACTGCTTTTTGTACCCCATTTGGGCTGTTTGAATTTAACAGGATGCCATTTGGACTGTGCAATGCCCCAAGCACTTTTCAAAGATTAATGGAGAGAATTTTTGGGGATCAGAGTTTTCAGTCGCTGCTGCTCTACTTGGATGATGTGATTGTTTTCTCAACAACTATTAAGCAACATATTCAACGACTGGGGCTGGTGCTGGATAGGCTGAGACAACAAAACCTTAAGATAAAACTCAGTAAATGTTGCTTTTTCCGGTCAGAAGTACGTTATTTGGGGCATGTGGTCTCTTCCACTGGGGTTAGCACAGATCCAGAGAAGATATCGGCCGTAGCTAAGTGGAATCAGCCACAAAGTCTTCAAGAACTCAGATCTTTCCTTGGCTTTGCTAGCTACTATCGACGGTTTGTAAAGGACTTTTCAAAAATGGCTGGACCCTTGAATGCATTGGTAGCGGAGCTGATTAGGGGGCAAAAGAGTAAACGACCTAAGATTAACCTGGGGTCCAATTGGACTGATTCTTGTGAACATGCTTTCCAAGCCCTTAAAATGGCTCTGACTAACGCTCCTGTTCTGGCTTATGCTGATTTTAGTAAGCCCTTTATTCTAGACATTGATGCAAGTCACCAAGGTCTGGGCGCTGTGTTGTCTCAAGAACATGGAGGTAAAAATCGACCAGTGGCTTTTGCAAGCCGTGGATTGCGACCACCTGAACGTAACATGCAAAATTACAGCTCTATGAAATTGGAGTTTTTGGCCCTGAAATGGGCTGTTACAGAAAAGTTCAGGGAGTACTTGTTGGGCCAGAAGTGCTTTGTGTATACTGATAATAATCCACTTAGCCACTTGCAGACTGCAAAGTTGGGAGCATTGGAACAGCGTTGGGCTAATCAACTGGCAGATTTCGATCTGGAAATAAAATACAAGCCTGGACGTTCAAATGTTAATGCTGATGCTCTTTCTAGAAAAACCCCATCTGTGGTTGAACTTGCTTTAACGACTCCAGTGCCAAAGGAGTTACATCAGTATGGTCCCAACAGTTGTCACACAGTTGCCAGTGAAACCATGTCTGTCTTTCCAGAACAGCCTAGGGAAGATCTTGGTGCGTTACAGGAAGCGGATCCTGCGATTGGGCGTTTTCTTGTTTATTGGAATCGCCAAAAGACCCCTGATGCACAAGAGAGAGCAATGGAGTCATCAGAGGTGCTGGAACTCGTGCGGCAGTGGGGGAAGCTGGTGAAGATGGAGGGAGTGTTGTACCGAAAGTTTCATCCTCAAGAGGAACATCGAGAAATCCGCCAGGTTGTATTACCATCTGTACTCAGGGAAAGAGTCTTGGCCAGTCTACATGATGATCATGGGCATCAAGGCATTGAACGGACCGCAAGTTTAGTGAGAACTCGTTGTTATTGGCCAGGTATGTTTAAGTTTATTGAGGAATGGTGCAAGAGATGTCAGCGTTGCACTCTGGCTAAAGTGGTACGACCAAGAGTGCGAAGTTTCATGGGGCACCTGATGGCAGAGAGACCATTGGACATCCTGGCTATTGACTTCACATTACTGGAACCTGCATCAAATGGGCTTGAAAATGTACTAGTTATGACTGATGTGTTTTCAAAGTTCTCACAAGCTATCCCAACTAAAGATCAAACTGCAGTAACAGTGGCACGTGTTTTAGTGGAGCGTTGGTTCTACTTGTTTGGAGTACCACGACAAATCCATTCCGACCAAGGAAGGTGCTTTGAAAGCAAGTTGATCTACGAGTTATGCAAACTATATGGCATTTCAAAGACTCGCACCACACCTTACCGACCACAAGGAAATGGGCAATGCGAAAGGTTTAATAGAACCATGCATGATTTGCTTCGTACATTGCCACCAAAGGAAAAGTGTCGCTGGCCAGACCATCTTGCTCAGGTAGTCTTTGCGTACAATACCACAGAGCATCAATCTACTGGGTACTCTCCTCATGTCCTTATGTTTGGGCAGGAGCCACACTTGCCAGTCGATTTTCTGTTGGGATTGGATGATGGTTTCCAGAGTGACGTAGACTGGATGGTGTACCATAAGGACAACTTGGAAAGAATATTCAACAATGCCCGAGCTCGTCTTCAGTGTGCCACAGAACATCGTGCTCGAACAAATGACCAGCTTGTGCGACAGGAGAAGCTAAAAGAAGGCCAGCTTGTGTATCGAAGAGCTCACAACATAAAAGGCAGGAACAAGATTCAAGATGCTTGGGATTCAACCCCTTACAAAGTAGTGCGGTGCCTTGATGAACTTGGAGCTGTGTATGCTATTGTTCCTGTAGAAGGTGGCAATATTAGAAACCTCCATCGTTCTGAACTGCGTCCAGCCTATACCCCCCCAAATGATTTTGGCCTTTTAGATCAGGCAGACTATCAAGAAAACTTCACTGATGAAGAGGGAGATATTGTAATGATGTCCCTGAGGCCTGGGGGTGTGTTATCCCAAGAAAAAGTTATTCCGCAACCTAGAACACAAATAATAGAAGATATGAGTCCATCTTTACCTGTAGTGGTTGATGTGGAGGATCAGTCTGCTCCACGGCCGGAAGGAGCGGTTGTAAGGCGTACGAGAAGAGCAAGAGCTGGACAGCATTCAAACCCATACCATCTTCCTCGGCCTGTACATGTCAGTGAAGCTGAGTTGCATAGCCATGTTGCTCTTCCAGTAACGGGGCTGTCCAGCAATGTTCTAAATGGTTTGTTTCGCCCATGGTTGTAGTGGTTTAAGTTAATCGACGAGACGTCGATTTAAATTTTGGGGGGTAGATTGTAATGAGACCATGTCTGGGCACTACAAGTCCCAGCAGGCTTAGCGCCATGCAAGGAAGTGTTGTTGTTTATGTGCGGACACTTTATTTCCTGATTGCGGCGTAAATTAACAACAGGTTGTAGATTGCTCAGCGCTATATAAGTGAGTCAAAGTTTGTTTGCCATTTTGCTGTCGTTGTTGCATTCTGGTCGCGGCACGTAAAGGCCGGTAGGTAGTAAGTTTATTTGTGTGATGTGCGGTCTCTCTCTCTTTCTCGCGGAGTTTCCTTTTTTTAACGCATGCATAAACTGACATTTATAGAGTCCACACTTCACGTGAGGGGTAGCTGATGAGCAAACAACATTTAATGCTGCCAGATCTTCATAGCGAACTTATTTAAAGAGGTAGTTGTTTTATAATTTTAATAAACCGTTTTTAGTGTTGTGTTTTAATGATATTATCCTTTTTATTTCTAGTGCTATTACGGGATCATTGTTTGCTGATTGTTGCCTGAGTGTCAGCATGGGAAATTAAGGATCTTAGAGGTATTGTTTAAAACAAAGAAGGGTTTTATCTTTTAATGCATGTTTTATTTATAGGATGTTTTATTGTGTTTGATTTCTTTATATTCTGAGTTTCTGTGTTGTAATAAACTGTGTTTCCCCTTTTTAGGGATGCACGGTTGCCGTTTACTTTAGACTTACAATAATATTTTTGTTATCGAGTCTTTGTTGTTGACTTTTGTTGTATGCTAATTTGGGTTGTTTATTATGTTGCTAGGTTGAAAACAATTTGTATTTTCCTTTGTTAAACTTTTCTTTCTTTTGTAGGTTCTGTTTTGGATTTGCTTTACCATCAGTGGCCACTGGGTTCCCTGCACTGTGTGGATGGCGGTGGAGAAAAGGTGGTTGGGATTGTGTGGTGATTTGGTCACTGTTGATTTTTGTGTTTTTTTAGGTTGCAGTGTGATTGCTGTGAGCTGAGTGTGGTGAAAACACTGCTGCTTGGGTACCTCATCTGTCCTCACTTTCTGGGTAACCGGTGGCCATTAGTGGTTTGTTTTTTCTTTTCTTTTATTTAGTTTATTTACTTTTTTTTCCTCCTTATTTGCAATAAAGATGGAGACAATTTGTATATTACAACTTGGGGAATAAAATATAATTGTCCTCCTAATTGTAAGTCACTTCATTTACCCTCTGCTAAATCATTAACACTGACAAAAGTCATCTGGTCACAGTATGTTTAAAACGAGCTGAACTGATCAGTGTCACATCTTGAGAAACATCGTCTCTAATTCACTGAAAGGAGGAGATTCTAGTAAACGAAACATGTTGGGGAATTGTGGTTTTTCTTCTGAAAACTGAAGGTGTCTAGGGAGATATCAGTCATAATTAATCTGCTTACAGACAGAATTGATAGATACGTTCACTCCCCAGAGGTGTCATTCTGTGTGTATGTGTGTGTGTGTGTGTGTGTGTGGGTGTGCGTCAGTTGACAGTTTTTCACTTCCCCTTTCACACTTTCACAATATTGCTTCTTTAAAGCACTGTTTACCAAAAAAACTTATATTTCCGGTCTACGAAAATAGCCTGTAACTTGTAACTGTAACTTAGCTCCATCATCAGATGTTTCATTTAGCATTTTCAGTTGTCGTTTATTGTGACCTGAAATGTCTTTGCAGCACATAAGCATGATCTAGTTCAGCAGAATAATAGTGGTCCAAACAAAGCCTTTCCGACATTCACAAACAGACTGAAATCCAGCATACAGACAGACACACACAACAAGCTTCACTTGTTTCCCAAGGTGCTTCCTTCTTTTAGTTCCCTGACAAAACAGTTTATTTCTTCAGAATTTTGTTCACAAACCCCTGCCCTCACAGCAAAGTCAATCTTCAATTGCAAATATTAGAAAGTCACATTTGGGCAGCTGTGAAATGTGCTGTGGCTAAATATGTTTTCCGTGGGCTAGATATGAAATAGAGATAATGCTAAGGTAATGAGCATTGTAATGTAATCCATGTTGAATTTCTCAATGACATGCAAGCAAACAACCAAATAAAATTTTCATGAAATAAAAAAAAGAATTGATTTCCTTCATGTCAGATGAGGCTTTCAACTTCCTAATTCCACAATGCAAAATGGAGGCAAAACCTCTCAAATAAAAACAATTTTTTTACATCATTGAAAAATTACAATTACAAATGCAATTTTCTAGAAAATAAATTATTTAGAAGATCTTGATTCGCACTCATTAAATAATTACTTTATAAAGCTTTATTTCTTAAAGTGATACAAAACACAGACATTTCAGCACAATGTCTTCCTTAGTGCGTGGCACAATTGCTGCATCTCAATTCGCATATTATCTCTAAATAGTATTTAAAAATAGAATTAGTATGTCCCAAATCATAGTATGCTGAAAAGAGCCAAAAGGTTCCCGGATGGTTTACCATTTCCGGTAAAAAAAAAAAAAAAATTAAATTAAGAACTGTTCATACTCTAAATGCTCCCAAAAATCTGGTCAGATACAAAAAAAAAACATAATTTCTAACAAAGTAAAAAAAAACATTTTTTTAATTAGATAGATTTTGGTAGTAAGGTTTAGGAAGGTTTTTCACTCCTGTATTTTTTTGTAAAATTGAACCGGAAAACTTTTTTTATTTCAAGAGTTCACACTTAGCTGATAATCAATAAAGCGTATTTGGCATGCTGTCCCGGGAGAGAGCCCTGCCCTCGTAATATCCTCGATCCCGGGGCTCCCGCCCGTTAGAAGGGCGAGAGGGGAATTCGAGGTCAGGTAGGTCTCGAGAACTCCCCTGCTTGTCACCGTGAGAAGTGTAAACTCGGGTTGTATTAGGTGATAATTTGTTTTAGTTGATTGGCTATGGTTAATGTTTTTGGACGGTGGGAGGAAACCGGGGAACCCGGGGAAAACCCACGCGAACACGGGGAGAACATGCAAACTCCACACAGAAACACCAACCGGCCCGATGGGTTGGACTGGCGGTGTTCTTGCTGTGAGGCAACAGTGCTAGCCACTGGGCCACCGTGTCGCCCGATCAGAAAAAGTGGGAGGATGTAGGGGTGGAAAGGGGGGGAGCTTCAAGACGAAGATAACTGGAGTGAAAAACTCAGGTTATTTATAATGCTTCCGTAATCATCTAATAGGGCTGATTACGGAGCTAACAAGGAGCCAGCCGTGTTGATTATAAGCACATGATCTCTCGAAATTAGTTTATGAATAAACCACACTTATTATTAATTGCAGTTACACAAAACGATTTTGGTCCCAAGTTTCCTTATTACTTTTTAAAGTGAATTATAAATTTATCAGTATAACTGATGAAATGGATTTATTTATTTCTTAATTATATATTATTTATTAATTATTTAATTTATTATTTATTTATGGATTGCAACTCTGGATTATTGGAAATGGACAAAAAAACTAAAATGTTTATTTTATTTGGAAAGTACCAAACAAAATGTATGCTGATTGTACCAAATTGTAAAGTATTGGTAATTGGTCTAAAAAAACAATTTATGATTCCCTGACTTCTATACCTATAATACTAAAGCTAAAGGAAATTACCAACCTACGTCACACAACCGTGCAAGAAGAGCTGAATGGAGTGAGCACCTAACTAGAAATGCTGGACTCTGCAGTACTCATTTTATATCAGGTAAGTTCATGCTATGCTGAATCATACACATTACTCGTTTTTGATTGCAGCAATGATTTCAGCAAAAACAGTTATGGTGAATTAAACTCTGGACACTGAATGCTTAGAATGAAATGTAAAAATGTAAGTTCGCATACCCTGCCATACAGGTGCAGTTTACTTTCAGAATGCAGTTGTTTTGCTTGTTGATGATTACTCAGGCCTTACAGTATATAGCTACGTCTTTTTTTTTTTTTCTTGTCTTTGGCTAGGCAGAACCTCGGTTTTTAGCATTACAAAGTTTTGAATCTGGTAATCATGGAACATTATTTCTTGCACATGACTACACAGAACAAAATTGTAGGCATCCAAAGACTTGTAGGCCTTTAACTTCTCTCTTGTAGAATCAATTGGAGTTTCGATGAGATAGTTGAATATTTGGGGCTGGATGCTTGCCCATTTCATCTTATCCAGTATCCATTGGGTGGGTGCTATCGCAAATGGACCTGTCAGACAAATGCAATTCACTTTAACGTTAATTTTTCTGAATCACTGTGCATATGGGTCACAAGCTGTTATAATACACTGAAAGCAATATGTAAATAATATATATAAATAGTAATCAATAAAACTTATCTATGATTAAAACAACAAACTGTGTACCGCATCGGATGTCATTCCCTTGCTCTAAATGCTAGCACTCTTGTTTTTTTCTTTAACCGTTTTTTTCTTTACAAACTGGTAATTCGCCTATTAAGATATCCCAACTGCTGAAAAAATACTTAATTTACATGATTACTTTTTGCTGTTAATTCCCTTGTATACTGTTCTGTATATTTCTGTACTTCTCTGCTTAATCTATAAAATAAAAAAATAAAAATAAAAACTGCTGACATTGCCCACAGTATATTGCGCATTGGATGTGTATTCGAACTACAAACGCAGGTGAAAAGTGTAAATAAACTACAAACATGATGGATGCGCAAGGCCAACAGTCAGGTAGAGAGGCTTTGGTAAAAATGTTTGTATGACTTTTAATTAATATTAAGCCCACCGAAAAATATTTCAATTGCGTTTTCTGTGTTATATTTTATCTGCGGCAACAATACTGAACTTACATGTATTGTTCTAAGATGTTTTTGGATATTTACATCTAAATGCAGAACGATACAAAGACCTGCTGCTGCTTCTCCAGTAAGGTAGGAAATTAAATATGACAGAATTGTAGATGATGTGTGGATGATTTACAGTATTATTTAGATTTACAGATCGTAACTAAGCAACATAACATCTGTTAACAAGGAAGTAGTGTGTCCCAAAGCTTGCATATTGCTCTGTTACAAACTCAAAAGTATACATTTTTCCTTTACAAAAAAGTAGTTTAATCACCAATGCAATTCAACCATATAATCTGTCTGAGCAAAATACGAATACATAAAATGAGCTACAGTTTAAGTGTGAGGAATTGCACAATCATGTGGATTTGTATTGGAAAGATTTGATTTAACCGATTAATTTTTTGCCCAGCAAAGATGTACGACTGCCCCTATAAACAACAATCCATTTAAAGCATCATACTTTTGTCCCTAACAGCCTCATTTATATTCATGTTCAGTATTAGATATGGTGTCTCCCCGACTAGGTTTATACTTCAAAGACTGAGGGCCATCTATACATTTCTGCAGTGACCCCTTTATTTTTACACTATTTCTAAACAGAGGAACAAACAGAGTCTCATTTTAGATCTCCACACACACACACCCTTTTTAGGAGCCCTACTCATGGAAAGGCATCCAAAATGGTCAGTGTTGGCCTGGGTGTCTTCCTCAGAACACTGTTGATGCTTATATAATATAATCCTCAATTAAGACTTTTGAATTACTGTGTGCAAATGACTGAAAGACTTTAATAACCAGTAATGCGATATGGCTATAAATGCTGATGACGTACATGATTTTTAAGGCAGACAAAAGCCAGGGACGGTGGGCCAAGATGACCACTAAAAGCTTTTGTGCAAATCTTAATTGAGCGCTGACGGGATAGACATTTAAGACCCTTTTAGACAAACTACATCATGTGTCCGGGAAGAACACAATCCATCAGAACAAAGAAAATTTCCAACAGGTGAAGCAACTTTTCATTTATTTTTACAGACACTGACTAACGGCTGCTCACTCTCTGGGAAAATGCTGGCATGAAAAATTGCTTTGAGTGGAGCTTCCCTGCTTTAAAGTAAATACCCGTCGCGCTCTCAGCTTTCAATTGAATGACTTTTAATTACTCCTTATTGACTTTGGTCAAAGAAGCATTGAAAATGTAATTCAGCCATTTAGTCATACTGTGCCGCCCTTCCAAACACAGACAGTTCAATCAACAAAAGCTGCAGTTCAGGAGGTTTTATGTTTCATTAACTGCAGATTATTCATCTGTCATACCAGTGGACTGCAGAGACAATCTTCATTCAGAATTGAATACATGATGTGGGTAGGAGAGTCATCGATTGCCTCGGATGACGAGTAAACACAGAATCGATGTTCTGAAATACTGTGCCATCTTCCTCGCTGTGAGAGTTTCATTTAGAGGCACAGAATTTCTATAATCACTTTAATTTTTCATAACCTCTCCTTCTCAAATGTGACTTTATATCTCACACTTGCATGCCTCACTATATCGCTACTAAATCTCTTTTTTAACTTTTTAACTGCCAATTGCATCTGCATTTATGTCTCACTTTATTTATATCTTACAAAATTACTTTTTAATGACCCTGCATGACACTGTAATCACTTTAATGACACTGTAACTAAAAATGTCATCCATTTCACACTGATTTGACTTTTTCTTTTTCTTGCAACTTGATTTTTTCATTTTTAAAATGACATTGTGTCTTAGAATTATATCTTAACTACACTTCCTGACAAAAGTCTTGTCGACCATCCAAGTTTTAGGAACAACAAATAATAACTTGACTTCTAGTTGATCATTTGGTATTGGAATTGGTTTATGAAAGGCAAAGGCCTCTAGATTACTTTTATTTGACCAAAATAAAATATGATCATGCCTTGATTTTAATTATTTTATTAGGACAGTAAGGTGTGACTTTACTTAGACAAAAGTCTTGTCACTTAACAGACATTGCAGTATAGAATATAAAGTGATGGTGCAGTGGAAAAGGAGTTAATATTGTGTCTGACTCCCATGAGCTTGGAGGACTGCATCCATACATCTCTGCAGTGACTCAAATAACTTATTAATAAAGTCATCTGGAATGGGAAAGAAAGTGTTCTTGCAGGACTCCCAGAGTTCATCAAGATTCTTTGGATTCATCTTCAATGCCTCCTCCTTCATCTTACCCCAGACATGCTCAATAATGTTCATGTCTGGTGACTGGGCTGGCCAATCCTGGAGCATCTTGACCTTCTTTGCTTTCAGGAATTTTGATGTGGAGGAGTATGAGACGAAGATATGGGATACAGTTCAGCAGAAGATTCATTCGAAAAATCTACCTTCTGCCACTTTTCCAAATTATCATCTAAGTCAAGTTATTATTTGTTGCTCTTACAACTGGCATCAACTACAAGAGTTTTGTCAGGTAGTGTATACTTAATTTAATATTTTTTTAATCACAACATTGTTTTTTTATAAATGTATGTACTAATTATTAAATGTTGTACTATTTATTTGCAATTAAATGCCGTAATGCTAAAATTGCAATTTGAACCTTTTCACTGCATCTGTACTGTAATTCCAACTGAATTTTATTTGTTTCAGTTGGGACTTGATATCAAGAGTTTAGATGCAAAAATCTTTAAGTGTCGTCAGAAATTTCAATAGAAAATTTTCCTTTTTCTTATCCTCCTATGTATGCGTTATTTCACTTTGAAGACCATGTAAAGGACTTATTCTTTGGCATAAAAGTAAAATTACTAAACCTACACACAGGAGCCTGATAAAAATGCTCAGTTTAGAAGAAACATTTAGACTGCATTTGGAGGTTTTTGCATCTGAACTCTTCAAATATTATTCCAATGTGAAATTTTCAATGCAAAAGCAATATATATTTTTTATTTACCATCAAATGTGCAGCAAATTATTATAAAAAATAATGAAGAACGCTAATATAACAAATTCTCTTATGAAATCATCCACCGAATGTATGCGGTCTCAACTTCTGCTCTATTTTTAAAATGACATTGTGACCTGCATCACTTCAGATTGAACTTTCCATAGCCTTTCTATTTCTTACTTAAGTCAATAGGTACCCGTTTTCAGCTTTCTTCAAAAATCTTTTTTGGTGGTTAACATTATAAAGAAACTCATAAAGCGTTAAAACAACTTGAGAGAGAGTAAACAGGGAGTACATTTTCGTTTTTTTCTTTCTGTGAACTTTAGCACCTTAGTCACACACTTCCTTTGTACAGCTACACTTCGGCACAGCAGTCACACCAAACCAGCTTTTACCGTATAAGTAAACCACACAGGAAACCAAACTGTTCTCAGCTCTCATACATACATTGATGTTTTGTGTACCTGATGTATGCGTGGCTATAGACAACACTACTTCTGCCAGAGCTTAAGTAGCATCAGACGTCAGCCTTACCACAAAATAGAAACAAACAAGTCAAGAAAAAACTAGTTGAAAGCTGTTCACAGAGTCATTATCTTTGGAAAACCCTTGCAGAGCCAGGCTGTTGTAAATAAATGAATGCTTAAAACAACACATTTATGCTGAGATGAGAAGGTGAGGAAATGCTTAAAAATAAATAAAAAAAAGGTTAAAATGATGCAAATGTTAAAATATACCTTGTTCATTGTTAATCTCAAATTGTTAAAAATAATATCTAATTAAAACGCATTATTGTTGATAATAATAATGGACAATGGGTGTATTGATTCCAATGTCAATACTTTTAAGTCACTGACAAATGGACAGCATTTTGTCAGTTCTTACCCATTATTGAACATCATGCATAAATTATACACCTAAGCTACTTACACTGAGTGCCACAACTGAATAGTGAAGTAGTCAGCCTGTAATTCTTGATTATTTCAAAAAAAGAGAAGAATATTTTTACGCACTTAACATGTGATGTTTTAATTTAAACTCAGAGATGCTTTATGATCATGCAAGGCTGATGAAGGCTTTTAACGCTCAGATAGCAGACAAAAAGAATGATTTTAAACTGGATTTATAGATTATGGCTTTTTGTGCAACATACCTTACTCATATAATATATAACATTCTAGCTTTTGCTGGATATTTTTAAAGAAAAGTAGCCTACAAACTAAAACAATTCATAATAATTGACCGGATTTATTTGTTGACATAACAAACATGACAACATGACTCACATGTAATTTTAGCGCAGCAAAGAGAGGGCTAGATTATGTAGATAAATATTAGCCTAGTGGATATTTTACGCGGAGACATATATGTGTCAGTGACAGGAGGGTGCAAGACTGCGCACTGAGGCTCGGGGGCGGAGCTGGCAGAAAGGAGCTGGTGAAAAACTTGCGAGTAGGTTTAGTGAGACTCAAGGCAGCTGTGGAATACACACCTCCCATGAGCGAAAACACAGGACTGAACTTGTGAAAAACTGCATGTGCGTAGTCGAGTCCGGCAACATGTATCCAAACCGGAGGCGCGCGTTTGGAGATTTTGAAGACGCGTAACAGCGCATGAAACGCACGTGTGGAAAGTATGATCGTCAGGTCGATTGGGGAAGTGAGTACATCACGTCTATGAACTTTCACGATATGGACCTCCAGCTGAATGCGACAAATAACTCTGTTGTGAAGATGAGCAAAACGACGCTGAATGGTTACCCCATCCCGGTTATCATGTTCATAGTCGGGGTGGTGGGGAACGTTATTGCGATCGTAGTGCTTCGAAAGTCACGGAAAGAGCAAAAGGAGACCACCTTTTACACCTTGGTGTGTGGACTTGCCGTGACCGACCTCCTGGGCACGCTACTCGCGAGCCCAGTCACCATTGCCACTTATGTGAAGGGAGAGTGGCCAGGTGGGATGCCGCTGTGCCAGTATTCCGGGTTCATTTTACTCTTCTTCTCCTTGGCAGGTCTCAGTATTATCTGTGCCATGTCCGTCGAGAGGTATCTCGCCATCAATCACGCGTATTTCTACAACCACTATGTAGACCAGCGGGTGGCAGGCTTGACGCTTGGGGGAATTTATGTGTCCAATGCGCTCTTCTGCGCCCTCCCCAGCATGGGACTGGGATCCGTGGTGATCCAGCATCCTGGAACCTGGTGTTTCATCGACTGGCATAACAAGACGGACACCACGACTGCCACTTTCTCCTACATGTACGCGAGTTTCAGCTCTGTCCTCATTCTCGCCACTGTCGTCTGTAACGTGCTGGTGTGCGCGGCGCTCATCATGATGCACAAGCGCTTCGTGCGCAGGACCTCGCTGGGAACCGACCAGGGTCGCGTCGCGGAGATCAGGCGCAGGCGAAGTTTTGCGCGGCTCGCTGCTGCGGAGATCCAGATGGTCATCGTTCTCATAGCCACGTCCACTGTCGTGCTCATCTGCTCCACTCCTTTAGTGGTAAGCATTTGGTGGCCTTTTGGAAAATATACAATGCTAAGAGTCTATTGTTGCACGATATTTGTGTTTATGTAGAATTTCTCCAGGCGTCACAGAGCAGTTGTTTTAAATAGTAAAATAGTGCAAAATCCCTATATGCAATCATATTTTATAATTGTACAGAATAAATCCTAAATTAACAAATACCCAAATGAAAATATCCTTACAATTTATTACAATAAAACTAGTATTATTTCATAACAATAATAGTATGATAATATAGTAAATACTATATAATAGTAAATAAATAATAATAAGTTCTGGGTTATTTTAACCCAATGCTGGGTGTAAAAGAGACTAACCCAACTGCTGGGTTAACTTTTTGAACTAAATTAATAAGACCATATTTAACCCAATGTTTAGGTTAGTCCTTATTTTACCCAATTTGGGTTTAAATATCCCAGTATTTCTTAGCGTAAATAGTGTAATAATAATAACAACAATAAATGATTTTTAAAATAAACTATTAAGTTATATAAAATAAGGATATAAAAATAAGAAATCTCATTCCACCATACATTTATTATGTTATTTGTGAATTATCTTTTTGAACCACCATCATGTTTATATAAAGAGTTTTTAGGTATTTTAGTCTTTTATTTGACATTGTGTTGCATGATTTTATAGTGTATTATGCTACACTCATTTTTTTGTATAAGGTAAATTGAGCTTTGTATTTATTTATTTATTGATTAACGGATTGATTGATTGATTGATTGATTAGCCTTAAAGTCAAGTGCCCTCAGATTGCACAACCTAATTTTCATCCTTTCACAGTGTTATTGTCAGCACATTTTAAATGATCAAAATCATGACTAATTAAAATGTATTCTGGCAAAATATCATTTCTTAGTGACAAGGATTCCTTTAAACATATTTATTTATTTAACAAACACCCAAATCCATTTATTTTTAGTTACTATTTTAAATGACATTCTCAAAAAGACCATACATAAAAAGTCCATATTTAAGCGCTAAAATGTTCATACACATACATACTGTAAAATGTAAAGTAGTAAAAAAAAAAAAAAATTACCACGGACGTTCTAAAAGAGACATTTATTGATAAGAGTTTGCTACATCCATGGGCTTTATATCAATATGATTCATACACTGATGACATTGTTATGCACTGACTTATAGTGGAAAGTATGAGGAAATAACCATTATATAATAATTAAATCACTGAACAGCAGTTTTAAAAAAATCCAAAATTTAATTACTCTTAGAAATCAATGCAGCATAACTACAGAAAAAGATGTAAACAGATCATGTCTAATTTTTTGTACAGGTGCAGGTGTTTGTGAACCAGCTGTTTAACTCTGCAGCAGATTCATCAGCAAGACCAAACCCGGACCCAGACCTTAAGGCCATCCGAATCGCCTCTGTCAATCCCATTCTAGACCCCTGGATCTACATTCTCTTGAGAAAGACGGTCGTGCAGAAGATCCTGGAAAAGATCAAGTGCCTCTTCTGCCGTATCGGTGGCCGCAGTCACAGGAGGAACACTTCAGATTTCCACTGCGATAATGACCTCCGCACTTCATCAGTTGTGTCTCGGGATTTACCCTCTATGGGGCTTCCCGAGCTGCCAGAGGTGATCAGCACGTCTCAGACATACCTGTACCCCCTGGAGGCAGGACAGGGGATGGGCTGCTGCGGTGACTCAGTGCCGAGCAGGACGTGTTCGACTTCAACAGAGCAAACTCTTCTGCAGGACTCTCAGGTGGCAGACTTCAGCAGCGGAGAAAATAGGACAGAAAAGAGCACAGACTTTGAGGAGTCAAGTTTATGTGAGCACTCCAACACAAATGAAGAGCAGTGTTCAAAGCACCAGCCGCTGCAAGTGACCTTTACAGACGAGACTTTGAGCTTTCAAGAGAGAACCATATGAACAATGCTGAGTGAACTTGAAAACACACTCTGACTTCTGCAGAGCAGGAAGAGGAATATGTAACCAGCTAGTGAGAGCTCTGCAGCTAAACCTCAAGAAACACACTGGCGACTGAAAATTGAGGCTGTGGTCTTGAGCGTCCTTGTTAGTGAGCCCACCTCCTATCCTAAAGACGTACAAAATCAAACGGATCAAATGCTGCTTAGAACAGGGAGTGTAGGACCATAGGGGTTGCACTGGTGCCATGACCCGGATAGGAGTGAGGATTAGGGGGGAGTGTAGCGGAAGCTATAGGAGCATCACTAGAAACTGATGCTGGAAGGTGCATTCTGTAGTATCCTTGTTAGTGCTCCTGGTGACACAAGTCTGAATCTCACTTGAAGCAGTATTAGTAGAGCTACAGGGGCTACATTGGTGCCATGACCCGGATGTGGGGAGGATTGGGGTGGAGGGGTGAAGCAAAGGAGGAAAGCTAGTATTGTGGGGTAAACCTCACACTACTGTTGTCATAATACAGGAATTCAGTACCAATTGATACTGAACATTTAAATATGTCCATTTCCTGCTAACATTTGAGCACATTCTTAAACATCGCTGATTTGCCATTGTATTCACCTGCTCAACAGAAAAGACTGTGATTGGCCGTGAAAATCATCTGTTTTCTGAACTCACCACTGTTTACTGTGTGTAACCACAGATTGAGATGACTGTGAAACGCTCCAGTGTTCCTGTATCTGTAGTTACACTCAGTAAACAGTGCTGAGTTTGGTGAACTGACCATATATCCAATCATTTCTGTTGAACACGTGAACACTATGGTAAATCAGCGCTGTTTAAGATCGCGCTTTACAGCAGTCAAATGTTAGCAGGAAATGGACGTTTTTAAAATATTAGCATTGATTGGTACCGAATTCCAGTATCGTGACAATCCTACCTCACACCCCTGGTAAACCGCACTTTCATGCTAGTAACTGGCTTCTAAGTGCATCTGCCTCTTATTCAGGAGATGCCTGTCTGAATCCCACTGGGAGCAGTGCGAGCAGAAACAGAGCAGTAACAAATATATATTTTAGGTGTTTGATATGTCAATATGAGCAGAAATACTCGAATGAAAAAAAAATCTAATAAATTGACGAGATTAAAGGTGCATTAAGTGATTTCTAAGAAAACAAATTTACATATTTGAAATAATCACTGAAAGTGACACCCACAAATTCACCAAAATAGTATGCAATGAAGGTATAAATCCCTTTAACAGGCATCATAACCACCTGGTTGACCTTTTATCACTATCATAGGAGTTGTGTAAGTATATTATTCAATCCAAGATGTGGGCCAAAAAAAATTGTTTTCAATTAGTGCACCTTAAAGGGTTAAGAGCTGGTGCTTCACGCAATAGCACCTAATGCTTTACTGTTTCAGCAACAACATTTTAGATACTCACGTGTAGGAGAATTCATGCAACATTAGCATCAATTTTCAGGATTTCCTGTTCCCACTCTTTAACATCTCTTCAGAACTGGAAAGATTGTCCAATATTAACACAGGTTGCCTTCCTTTTCACCTTAGTGGGCACGCCCCTTATTACTAATTGGCTGTAACAGATTTGTGGTGCTCTGATTGGTCCAATGTACTTTTAGTTTAGTTTTTTTCAGTTTACACAGCAAAGCCTTTATACAAGCATACTTTTCAGCACACACACACACACACACAAAAACAGAAATGGAAGGGGTGTTGATATCAAAACTGTTTCTCTGATATTGCTTACTGTACCTTTAAAATAACAATATTTTTACAAGAGAAAACCAATCAAACAACCAAATCACTAAACTATGCATGAAAGTGAAAAAAAAGATGCTTGGTGAAGTAGGAAACTGAATGTTGCTGCATGCTGGATCAAAACACGGAAAATGTCAAATAAATGGAGTGATGGGGTTCTGGAAAGGGTGAAAGAGCAGACAAGAAGTACGAGGGAAACTTGCTTCATTTTCTGGTAATAACTCTTAATCTATCTCTAAATAAATCTGGTTAGTTGAGCAGCAGATGCATTTTCTAGACTTTGAGGAGCTTGGCAAAGCTCTAAGATAAATTGTCTTCTTTGCAGGTTCTTGTGAATCTCCACAGAAAAATGCCATTCTGTTTTAGACTAGATAAACCTGCTCGGGGCTTCTATTGACTTATCTGGTTGACCCAGGCCAAGAGGATAATCCCCCTGACACCCCCACCCCCTACACCCCGGAATTCCAAATCTTGATTAGACTTGATGAATGACTTTTGTGGGTAGTACAAGAGAGCAAATATCTGCTGCCCTGCTTCTAGTTCTCCTTTGTAGGCATTCTAAAGAGATCTCTGTAAGGTCGCATGTTCAACAAACCAGAGTGCCTCATCAACTTTCCCCCACGCTCATGGTTATGTTATTTTCCTTATGTTAAGGTGACTACAACACTCCATTTTCTACTGATGCATAAATAACTGTCCACTATTTCAGTCTGATGTAAGATGTAGCTACATATAACTGTACATTGTCTTTGGAATTTCCATCATATGTACAATATGCTGTGAACTATCAAGCAATTTTCTATCCGTTTAATAACATTTACACTGTCACAAAACATATTGGTACAAATTAAAATGTAAGAGCACATTATACACAGTATATCATTGCCAAGAGAATTAGTCACACTTTATTTTGATGGTATGTTTGTTGAATTTAAGTTACATTGCAACTAATTCTCATTAGATTATAAGAAGACTGTTAGGTTGGGGTTAGGTTTAGTGTAAGTGGACATGTACTTGCAAAGTTTCTTAGAGTCAGTTAAATGTCTGTTGAAGGAGCTGTATCAACAGATATTAAGCAGACAGTATACTAATACTCAAATGGACCATCAAAATAAAGTGTTACCAGAGAGTTTATTTAGTTTTTTTTTTAAGTGTATGCAGATGATAGAATGTATGGCACAGAGGTAAAATTGTAAAAGCTATTAAGAATGTTAAATGTTTATTTGAGGTTGGACGTTTTGCACTTTTAAATCCTTGTAACCACTGAACAGAAATGAATCTAACTTGTCTTGATTAGTGGTCATCAAGGAGGAACTGTTGAGTTGATCATATTTGTGATGTTAAAATGTGAAAGTCGTAGTGTTTTAATTTATTGTAGTCTTTTTAGACAATATATGGACTGTAGTTCTTCTCTGTGAGAAGGCAAGTTTGACATTGTTCCTTGATGATGCAGTTATATGGTTCGTTTTATTTCACATTTTTGTGTATCAACGTTTGGGGCATGATTATCATCTGCTGCATGTAAATATGTAAAAGATTCAACATTACTGTGTACATTTTCACCATTTCATTTTCAAACTATGTCTTGCTTGTTACCCCTAATGTGACCCTTCAGAATGTGCAATGGCCAGCTATTTTATGCTGAAATAAACTATGGTGTTGAAGACAAATAGAATATTGAAAACACAAACGCTTTATTTGTTGTCTACCTGCTAAATATTAAAATAAGCACAGCATTGAAATAATTAAGAGAAATCAGTCCTGTTTTTTTAGTCTTGTTTTTTTTTTTTTTAGATTCACTACATCTTTTTAGTTTTTATTCACTTACTACTTTCACACACACATACAGTATAAATGAATTATTAGCCCCACTGAATTATTACCCCACCCCTGTTTATTTTTCCACTAATCCCGAATTTCTGTTTAACAGAGAGAAGATTTTGTCAGCACATTTCTAAACATAATAGTTTTAATAACTCATTTCTAATAACTGATTTATTTTATCTTAGACATGATGACAGTAAATAATATTTGACTAGATATTTTTCATGACACTTCACTTCTATCTAAAAGTGACCAAGAAATATATAATGGCTAGTGTAAAATTCAGCATCTTTGCTTTAGAAATGAGATGAAATAAAATATCAGTCCTGCAGAACAGAATGAGGAGCCTTCAGAACAACAACAGTGTCAATCTGCTGCAAGTGGAAATGCAGAGGAACTTTAGAAATATAAAAGTGTACTTATGGTTTACTGGTAAAGCAATAATCTTCCAAAAAAAAAAGAAGAACTAAAAAAGTCTTGGGAAAATGAGTATACAGTACAAATAATAGACGGATTGTAATGTGTAGCTCAAAGAGAAACACTAGTTACTATTACAACCAAATACAACTACACTAAGTACACCTCACTAACCATTAGGCCACAACATCCCCAGGTGAAGAAAGTGGCAGAGAAACATTGTTGCTATGAAACATTGTTTATTTCACCAAGTCAGTTTAATGGTGAAGGGATTGATCCAATAGGTCAAATGATGAAAGCTTTGTGAAGAAATTTCATGCTCCATTTTAAAAGTAGTTTGTAGTATTTTTAAAATAAAAAATGCAATGTTTTATTTTGATACATTTGTGGCAACTGTATTTTGTGTTTTATTTAAAAAAAAACATTTTAATGTATTTTCGCACAGCCCTGCATATATATTATTCCCCCTGAATTATTAGCCCCTCTTTTTTTTTTTACATTTTTTCCCAATTTATGTTTAACGAAAAATAAGCTTTTTTTCAGCACATTTCTGAACATAATAGTTTTAATAACTCATTTCTAATAGCTGATTTATTTTCTCTTTGCCATGATGACAGTAAATAATATTTAACTAGATATTTTTTTCAAGACACTACTATACAGCTTAAAGTGACATGGATTAATTAGGCAGGTTAGGGCAATTAACAAGTTATTGAATAATGATGGTTTAAAAATCGAAAGAAAAAAAATATCTCAAAGGAGCTAATAATTTTGACCTTAAAATGTTTAAAAAAAAAAAAAAAACTGCATTTATTCTAGCTGAAATAAAACAAATATGACCTTCTCCAGAAGAAAAAAATATTATCGGACATACTGTAAAAATTATCTTGCTCTGTCCATTTACTGTACAAAGATAAAATAAATCAGTTATTAGAGATGAGCTATTAAAACTATTGTTTAGAAATTGAAGATTGGGAGAA